GAAGGAAGGAAGGAAGGAAGGAAGGAAGGAAGGAAGGAAGGAAGGAAGGAAGGAAAATTTGGGGAAGGAAGGAGGGAGGGAAGGAAGGAAGGAGGGAGGGAGGGAGGGAGTCTAGAGTCGCTGGGAGTTGGGGGGCATATAAATTTAATATAAGGAAGGAAGGGAAGTTCTGCCTTTCAAGATCTAATCTGAGGCCAAGATGCAGGCAAAGAACTAACTGATTCAGGAATATTAGGGATCTGTCTTTGAATACGCAGCCTTTACTATAACCAAACAACGTCTCTGAGCATGCACAGCGGCCTCTCGCCTCCAAGGGCCCGCATAGCCCGCAGTTGCCACCCAGAGCCCCCCTTCCCCTTTGAGCTCCCTGCCAACCTAGCCCAGCCTCACGCACCAGACCTGTCGTTTTAAAGCCTGCAACGTCCCCCAGCTCGAGGAACCCTCAAGAGCCCCGCCCCGAAAGGGCCACTTCCCCCTAAATCTCCCCAAAGTAAGCTGCACCCCCAAACCACCATTTCGCCACTTTCCTTCTCCTAGTTTCCCACACCCTCGGCCCACAGGCTCAGCTTTCTACCAAGCCCCTACCCCTATTTCCCCCCAATGGTTTGGGACCCACAATGCTGCTTTACGAAGGTGAGAAAGAGTCGCGTGAACACGCAGGACGTGCTCTGCCCCTCCACAACGCTCCCGCACCAGCTACGCCCCCGCCCGAAGAAAGCCGGCTTCCGCAAGGCATAGCCTATCAGGGACCCGGCCTCCCTGCTGCAACACCTAGGTCTGATGAGCTAGCCCGGTTCAGTTACAAGCCCATTCCTACAGATTTGGGAGCCTTTGCCGAACTCCAGAATAAATTTTTATCAGAGCTCCCCCCGTCCCATTGCAAACCGAGATGGGCCCGTCCACGGCCGATAAAGGCGTTTTTTCCCAGCTCCCCGGAGCCGGCACGATTGCAAGATACCTCTCGCTGAAGTGCGAATCGCGGTGCTGAGGGAGCCCCTGTTTTCGGCGCTGGCTGGACGAGTTGCTGGCAGAGGCCAGGTGAGGCTCTATGCTGCCGGGGTTTCGCGATGCAGCCTCCTGGCGTGCCCGGAGGATATCTGGGCAGAGAGAAGGAAATCCAGTATGAGCCGTTGCAACCCTCCGTGGAATCAAGTTAACCAAGATTAGGGTTTCCTGGGATTTAAGCTTGTTCCTAGTTTGTGACAAGAGGGTCTCTGGGCGCATGCAAAGTTTCATTTATTGATTCGATGCTCGCGCTGCCAAATCGAGAGGCCAAGGAGGAATGAGAAAAGCCTGGCTGGCATTTATGGTGTCAGCGAGCCAAACGGATTCAGCTCCCTGAGCCTATGGGGGGGAATGCCAAAAATGGGGGGATGCGGGCACAGGGGAAGAGCAAATCATAGCCATAATTCCCAATTCCCAAAGTTTATCAACTGCAGGAAGAAAACAAGGTTAGATCTTGCCCTTCCTCATCCTAAACCGATTTTTTCTTTTTCAATCCTAGCTTGTTGATAGGGCGCCAGTGGTTTGACGTGGTTCACACCCCAGGGACGCTTCTGCAGGGAAGGGTGCAGGGGGATGCAGAATTAGGGTGGGGGGGGAAGGAGGAGAACAATTAAGCCATAAACAAATAAATAAATAAAGCAAAGGCTTCCTAAATAATTCAAGATGGATTGGTGCCACCGGCCGTGCCCACAGATCATCAAGAGCTGCGTATTGGCAGAAATACCATTTATAATTTAGCCTCGTTCCCCCTGCAGACAGCCTCTAAGCGCCTAGGGTGAGTTAGAAACGGCTTCCAGGCGATCAAGCAAGGAACCTTAGGCCGCTCAGAAGTGGCCGACCTGCAGCTCCAAGCACATCTGAAGATGCCCTGTGTCGCAGCCTGCCTTTTAAAGCAGTGTTTTTCAAAATTGGCCACTTTACGACGTGGGGACTTCAACTCCCAGAATCCCCCAGGGATGGGGAATTCTGGGAGTT